AGAGAGAGAGAGAGAGAGAGAGAGAGAGAGAGAGAGAGAGAGAGAGAATGAGAATCTAACCTTCACCTTCAAACAAGAAGCATTGTGGGGATCAGGTCATAGCAGCATGGTAGACAGAGTTATCTGCAGGCTCAGAGAGGAGTTAACTCTGACATTCAAGCAGACTGAGGGCTTAAACGGCTTGTTTTCCTTTAGTAAGTGGGATAGTTCAAGAAAGCAGCTCATTGGTGATAGCCATTTCCATAAAGTCAGCTCACCTTAGATGTTCATTCTGTTAGGTGAAACAGCCATCTTCTTATGGATATAAGGATGTCTAGGGAGGGTATTCTAGTTCAAATGCAGTCATTGTCATGTGTGCACATGGGAAGACAGCTCTGCAGTCACTGCCTCAGTTACTTCTCTCTTGGCTGTGAATACAAACCTGTCAAGAGCAGTGCAAAGGAGAAGGGGTTTCTTCTGGCCCACAGCTGGAGAAGTGTAACAGAAATGGCCTGTGGCTGTGGTGACAGGACTTCGGAGTGGCTCACTCATATCTCCATGAACCAGAAAGCAGAGAGGACAAAAAGCAGTCCTATCTCTAAATCCTCAAGCCTTACACACACACACACACACACACACACACACACACAGAGAGTCACATACACACTCATGCACATTCATATATGTACATGCATACAGTCACACACATGCACACATACACACTGTATATGCACACTCACAGACATGCACATTCACACACATTCAGACATTCACACACACTCATACACATTCTTATATACTCACACACAGTCACACATACATGCACACACACACACACAGACACGCATGCACACAGGACCCACTTCATACAATGAAGCCCTACCTCCTAACTTCCTGGGTCACAGGCTGGAGACCAAGTATTCAAACACAAGCCTATGAATTGGACAGACTACAGTAGTCACCTCAGGTAAATGCCCTGAATTTGTTGTCTTCTTATTTTCTCTGTATTTGTGTTTACTTCAGGCATTTTAACAAAATCAAAGATTTTGAGCAGTTCTGGGCTCACAGCAAAACTCATATACAGGCAAATAAAATCTGCCCCAAAGTGACCTCACCATTTTGTTCTCACCTGCAGTGACAGAGCTCCAGCTGTTCCACATCCTGCCAGCCTTTGGTGGTGTCAGCATCTGTATTTTAACTGGTCTCATAGCTCTATGGTGGAAGCTCATTCTTGTCTTACTCTGCATCCCTGTATGCAATTACGGGAGCCCCTACTCCTCCTCTTCCTCCCCATCTCTACATCTTCCTTGGTAAGATGCTTGTGTTCTCCCCGCCCTTTGAAATCAGAGTCTTTGTTTGATGTTGTCTTCAGCCCTTGGGACACTTTGCACAGCGATGCTCTCACTGCTGTCTTTCAGACCTTGTTCCTGGTTTGTTTGTCCTCTCGTTCTCTTGACACTGTCTTTCCACCAAGTAGTCATTTTCAAAACCATGTATTTTGATAAAAAGAAAAGAAAAGAAAGGAAAAGAAAAAAACACCGGTTGATCCACAGAATAAGACTAGAAACAGACCCAGTATATGACAATTACTAGAGGAATCTGCTCTGTGCATGAAGAAACTGGTATCTCATAACTCAGGGTAGAAGGATTACAACTGGCATCACTGGGCCCGTGAGAGGACCTGTGGGTGAAAGCACTCAGCACTTGCCCCACACGACTGATGTCCTGAGATCCACACCCTCAAGTTGTAAAGGCAGAAGGAGATAACTGACTCCACATATACACTGTGTGCACATGACTGTGGACACATCATACACACATTACAGGGGAGGGAGAGGGAGGAAGGGAGGGAAAGCAGGAGATTAAGAAACAAACTGGTTTCATTATATCTTCATTTTGATGACAGTTGTTAACTTTATGTGTCATATCATATACAAAGTAAATTAAAATAGATCTCAGGGAAGAAAAGTCTGAAGAAATAGTTCTACTATAAAAAGAAGAATTATAGAAGAAAATGTAAGGCTAAGTGGACAAGATATTTTGTTTACTTTTGTTGGAAGGTTTAAATTATTTTAGCTTTTAAAAAATGTGTATGAGTATTTTCCTGCAAGCAGTATTCATAGAAGCTTCTGGAACTGGAGTTAAGGACAGTGGTGAGCCACCTTGTGAGTGCTGGGAATCTGAATCCTGGTCCTCTGCCATAAACAGGAAACATTCTTAACTGTTGAACCATCTCTCCAGTTCTTAAAAGGTTAAATTTTGTCTGGGCTCTCTTAGCTGCCTTAGAGTCATTCATGGGCCTGTCAGTACCCCTAAGCCATACTGCAGAGACAAGAGAAGCCATAGGCCTGCTGCCCAACTAATGCAGTCAAATAGGTAATCTACAGGTTCAGTGAAAGACCCTGTCTCAAAATCTCAGGTGGAGACAAATTGAGGAAGAATTCAGGTGTTGATCCCTGGCCTCCACATGAATTTGTGTGCACCCTTGTACAGATATCCACACGTGTGCATACTGCACATACTTGCACATAGGAACACCCACACACACATACACTAACCAGTTAAAGATAAGTTAAAATTAAACTTAAAAAAAACCTCAAAGGGTACAAAGATTTTACAGAAACAGTGAATTTGTTTGGTCGTCTCAGAGTGCTGGATTGGGAATATGCACACCAGAGTACACTAGGAGAGCAGAAGTGGGAGCTTTTAATTGCACAGTGTGTGTGCCAGGTCCCAGTGCTGTGTAAAACCAATAATCTTTGCCTACAAAGATCACTAATAAGCAGTGTCCATTCAAAATGCCATGGGAATTGGTTGGACCCACATCCTTGCAGAAAGGTTTTCTGTGTAAGGCTGTGGTGGCCTTTGTACACGGCTGTGGTTTTGGCAAAGTGTTTTGTGATAGTTCTTGCTGTTATTTCCATGTATCTTAAGAAACAATGAATTTGTTTGGTAGTCTCAGAGTGCTGGATTGGGAATACGCACACCAGAGTACACTAGGAGAGCAGTCGCAAAGAATGAGAAAAGGGGGAGCTTTTAATTACACAGTGCGTAATTATACTTCCCGTTATACTTATTATTTTTTGCTACCTGTCCTTCTACCCCAGTTTTCACACAGGTACTGGGGATCAAATTCAGGTCCTTCTGGCTGCTTGGTAAGCACTTTATCTCCTAAGCCATCTCTCCATCCTTATTTCTGCGTTTTGACAGGACACTGCTCTTTAAAATTCCCCACAAACAGCATCTAAAATCTCAACTTTATTTACTCATTCATTTATTTACTGTATCTAAAAACTCTACTTATTATTGGTTAGAGTTTGACAAAAGTTGCCATTTCGAACCTTACAGTGTTAACAGATTAACAGAAAACCAAACCAAACCAAACAAACAAAAAACATGTCAAGAACTGCAGGACAGGAGTCAAGACTGTGGGTAACAGGTAATGCCCTCAAAAACAGCTTTGATCAGGCAAAAGCCTCTGGAGGCATCTTTCGGTTCGGTTCGCTTAGGTTCTCTGGCCTTGGTGTTGGCAGAAGTATCATGACCTGCTGCCGTTAAACACACCATGCAGTGAGCAGTCTCAGCCACAGCTTTGTCGGGCTGTGGTGGAGGGAGAAGGGGCCTAGGGACTAGCTTGAGCTTCGGTGATGAACCCTCCTTTCTACTTAGAGGGGCCTTGGTTCCAGAGCGCGCATTCCTCTGAATCTGTCTCGCTAGGGGACCGAGGGCCAGTTGTCTAGAGGTGCTGCCTGGCTTCTGCTCGGTTTGTGGAGTTGCCTGTCTTCAGGTTCACAGTGCTGACAAGCTCAGCTCAGGTTCACAGTGCTGATGGGCTGAGGCTTGGCTTGGGGATCTAGGGCTAGCTACTTAACTACGTTAAAGTTACTCCCCCGGCTCGGTTTGGGGGTGCTGTCCACCCAAGTTCGGGATCCTAATTGTCCCAGGCTCAGTTCAGTGTGCTGTCCCCTTGTAGCGCGAGTTCGGGGTGGGGGTGGGGGCGGTGTTACTCTACTGGATCTCGGGGTACTTGCCGGCCCGGCTCCGTTCTGGGCGCTGCCTAACCCTGCTGGATTCTGGGCGGGGTGCTGTATGCCTCAGGTTCGGGGCGGCGGAGGAAGCGAGGGCGCTGTCCTGGCGCATTGAGGAAGTTCCCCGGAGGAGGAAGCAGCCAGCCGGGCGGCGGGGAGAACCGGGGACCCGTGTGTGCCAGGCTGGAGGAGAAGGCGGCGGAGGAGAAACCGAAGGAGGGAGGAGGAGAGGGGATTGGAGCACGCGGCCACCTGTCCAGGTAGGCGCCACTCCGCCTCGCCGCACCTTAGCACAGGGCCTCGGCCACCCCCAAGCGACAGACCTCGGCTAGTCTACGCTCCAGCGGCTGCGGCGCGCGGAACCGGGACTCCCGCCCTGTAAACGCGCGTGCCCGTGGGGCGCAGGGAGCGCGGTCGCCAGCCGGGCCGAGCCGGGAGCTACGCCTCTCGGTGACTGGTGGATCCGCGAACCCGGGGACTTCCACGGTGCGCGCCCCCGAAGCGAAGCAGCGTCCCCAAGCTTTTGAGAACCCAGACTGCTGTCGTGCGCGCCCGCGAGTCACTGCAGAGTCCCAACGCCTCTGAAATGCGGTAGGTGAGGGAAAGAGCAGTTTCCCCAAACTCTGAACCCCTGCCAAAGCCAGCAAGTTCACTCCGCCTGGCGGACTTCCTTTGTGAAGTCACCTCTCCAAACCCTTGGAGACTGTTTAAGGCACTACAAGGTACATTTGGATATATCAGTATGGCTCCCAAAACTTAGCCCCACCTAAAAGCCATTGAAAGGAGACCCACTCCTTTGAAAGTTCCTAGAGTAGAAAGAATTGGAGAAGTCAGCTTCCCGGGTTTGTTTGTTTGTTTGTTTGTTTGTTTGAAATTAAATTTTACCTGGCTGACCAAAGATTTTGTTCAAAGTTAAGTAAAATTCTCGACTGGGGGTATTTTTTCTTTTCCTTGGCGTCTTCTCTTTTTTAAACTCTTGAAGCATTTCAGCTTGTGGCATTCAAAAGAGATGGACGGGTAAACATCTCTAAATTACAATGTTTAAAAAGTACCGCGCGTGTCATGCCAGGGCATTCCTGGAGTACCGGGACCGGGCCTTTGCTTTAGTCAAGGCAAGCCCACAGCCTCTACACGGCAGCTTTAAAATCGAATGTCATTAAATGTCATGTGTCTGTCCTCCCTCCCCACATGACAGTTCAAATACTGTATAAATATATTTATAGTTGAGTAAAAAGATTTAAATACTTACAAGATAGCAGGTGTTTTAAGTGATAAATTTTTTTCTCTTGAAATCATTTCACCAAATCATTTTTTTCTATTCAAATCAATAATTTTAATAGAGTTAAGGAAATTTTGCAGTAAAACAGAGATTGATGGGTATTCTGTATTTGAGATGCTTAGATATGCCAGATTTAATGAAAGTCTTAAAAATGGAAAAAAATTAAAAATATCTGAAGTTAAGATGAAAGCGGGGAATATATTTTAGGAATATCTCTCACCTCTGAGAGGTAAAATCGATTTTTAAAAAATACGATTTTATAGCTAGGCTTGTATGAATGGTTCTTTGGTCCTTTAAAGACTATATTTAATATTCTACATGTAGGTATTATCTCTCCAATTTGGGTTTTGATTGTTAAGCAAAGGCCTCTTGGTAGAACTTACTCATCAAACTGTCCCTCATCATTCAATGTATGTTTGGGACTTAGGAGTTTTCAAGATTTCAGGTTTACATTTGTAATTTAGAAGGGCATTCGTATAGAGAAATACCGTTCCTTGTGACCACTCTGGTGTTGTCGGGTAGTATTTTGTTATTCCGGGAACCATTATTTCTTCTTGTGGGTAATGTCTGTATTCTGAGGGGAATAGATACCAACTATAAATAGCCTGTGTCCGTTTAGAGCAGGTGTTGTCACTCAATGAGTGAGGTTCCGTAAAACTTAGCAAGAGAAAAGAAAAACAAACCTTGTTCAACGCTAGGGTTCAAGAATTAGATCTGTATTGGACTCCATAAACTATGTTGTATTTTTGGAAGTCAAGTGCATTTACTCCCGGACACAAACCGGTTCCGGTACCTAGTGGGCAGTTCCCCTTTGTCGGAAAATAGCGAATATTTACCGAATGTCCAAGCATTTTAGCTAAATCTCAAGTGGTCCAAGCAAGAGTACCGGGTTCCATCCTTTAGAGACAAAGTTTCAAAGATAACGTTTCAATGATGTTCCCATCATTCCTGTGACTTCAGGAGAGAGCACAAGACTCTCCAGGAAGGGGCGTGGCCATCCCTCGCAGCTGCAGTCCTTGGAAGACAAGTTTCCGGTTCTCTCAGCAGCTTGGCCTTTGTTGACTTTTTTTCTGTTCCTTCTGCCCAAGAATGGCGGGGTCTCCTTTCAGATGCAAGCCAATGTCCAGCATCTCGGCTTTCTCTGTAGGACCTCTTTCCAACTGACCCAGTTGGCCTGTCTACTGCCCTTTTTTGCAACTTTTAGACATTTTCTCTGTTTCTGGATTAGTGTTGTTGACAACTGGGTGGGTGAAAAAAGATAGAAATATATATATATATTTGATTTTTTTCCTTTTATGTCAGAAGGCAGAGTCCTCACAGTGGTGTAGATGAATTCCTTACCTTAATTGGATTTTATCATTGTAATCTTCAACCTTGTATTTAAATGCTAGGCAAAAAAAAAAAAAAAAAAAAAAAGGTTTTCCTATGGAAATACTGTATAAGATTAAAACACTAATGAGGCTGGCTGGATTTTATGTAGATTTGTGCATTTTCATATATTTTCAGGGATATTTGTATGTGATTATAACTTTGACAAAAATGTTAGCCAAGATCTGTTTGAGGGTTTTATGTTTGTTTGTTTTGTTTCCTCTTACGAATCAATTATGGGTGTGGGAGAGCTGGCTCAGCAGTTAGGACCACTCACTGCTCTTGCAGAGGTTCAGGGGTTCATTTCCCAGCATCCACAGTGAGGCCACAGCCATATGTAACTCCAGCACCTGGGGGCTCCAGCTCCCTCTACTCTCTCTTCAGACATGCATGATTGTGCACAAATACACGCACACCTGTGCATAAAAATAAATAAGTTTTAAAAAGAATCGATTATGTAGACAGGTGTGGTGGCATATCTGTAATCATAACACTTGGGTGTCAAAGCCAGGAGAGTCAAGAGTTCAAGGTCATCTTTGACTGTTTCGCAATACTGAGACCAACCTAAAATAAGAAAAAAAGAAAGAAATAGAGTATAATGGGAAAAATGGCAAGGAGTGTAACTCAGTCAATAGAGTACTTGCTTAGCATGCATGAAGTCCCCAACACCAAATAAATGGGTTGTGGCAGCACATACCCTTAATCCTAGCACCTGAGGAGTGGAGGTAAGAGGGTTAAAAGTCCAAGGACACCCTTGGGCATTTACCCAGTTGAGTCCAGCCTGGGCTACATGACACCCTGTCTCAAAAATAAACGAAACAAAACAAACAGAACCAAGCCTATGTAATTTTTGTTCTGCATCCCTTACAAGTCACTGACTGAATTTAGATATTAAATAGAGTCAAACTCCGTTAAAACCAAAGACATGCAAAGAAAGCACATTTCATTTATGTTATGATCAGTTTAATAGAACCAGTGTGACCCTCTCTTTGTCTTTTCTTTCTTGGCGACTTGGGGAGGGAGGAGGAAGTGGGCATGCTTTCAGTGTTGGAGTGGCTACTTGGGGTGGAGAGTGGTTGTGTTGAGGGAAAAGCAAAGGAGCTCCTTTCTCCCCTATATATAGTCCTGACCCTGGGAGCTGTGTGTGCTCTGCATCCTAGGACAGTCTTCAGGCTTGGGGGATGGGGTAGGGTGGAGGATTGGGGTGGGACACAGGTGTGGGGAGGAGTAGGTCAGCTAGGAAATGTAGAACAAGACACCCATGTGGCAGACCGGGATGCCTGAAATAGAGAGGGAGGGGCTCTGTACAGTTAGGGAAATCCATAATTCCAATATTGACGAACTTATGTGGGTTCAGCATATCTATAAAAAGTATTGAAATGCACACAGTGGAAGTCACTCCTGCCTCTTTCTATACGTTTGACTTCACTGGTAGACCTTTGTTCTAGGGAGATCAGCCTTGTATGTCATTCACTTGGCAGTCTTTGTGATGTAGCCATAGTCTTAGTGTGACCCAGGTTACTTTGTTTTAATTTAACTAAGAATCCCCTCCCACCTTTCAATCTTTGCATTCATCTTTCTGTCCCATAGTCCAGCTTTCTGGAAGCAAGCTTTTCATTTTGGAAGCTGTACATTTCCTCATGCAAGGCATACTGGCTAATTTATTTCATGTCTCAACCTCAGACAGTGTATCTGAGAACGAGGAGTGGGTAGAAGCCAGACTCCCGGACCTCCCAATGATAATTATTCTGTGACGTGGGGTTAACTGGTTTCAACAAGTGTTTACTGGCAGTGATTACTATCATTCATGACTTGCTGAGTCCACATTTTGTCATGGCATCTCTACTCTGCAGACCCGGTCAGAGTCCACCGTCCTCCCCAATGGTGCTCCATGACTAATACTCTTGTGTAGTCTTCAAGGTTGGCAGTCTTATCAGCTATGAGGAGTAGGACCCCTTGGGTATTCTCTGGTTTGAATAGTTTGCCTATGGCTCTGAAGGTTCGTGTGCTTGCATTAAAGTCTCAGAGTGGGTGTTTGGATGTTGAATAGCAGTTGTACCTTTAAGAAATGGATCCTAACCAAGGGGTTGGACTGTGGGACGTTGTCCTCAGAAGAGACTAGCATTGTCATTCAGGAACCCTGAATGAAACAGCAAGCTTGGCTTCTGATTGTCTTTGGCTTCTATCTCTCTATATGATGCCTTCCCTACTCATGATCCCTCCAAGGTTCCTTTGGCTATGCTATTCTGTGGCTCACAGGGCCATACCAGCTACTAAACAGATGGGACCACCCTGTCTTGGACTTCCAAAACTGTGAGCTCACTACACTTCTATAAAGCACATAGCTTCAGATATTTGGTTATAGTAACAACTGGCCCATCATGCTATGCCGTGCCACCTCCTTCCTTGTTCCTCCTTGGCCTCTCTCTGCTGTTCCTAGGGTGAAACTTTGTTATTGCCATATTTTTGGATTGCACAGAACCTAATATAATTTTCTTCTCAACTTTATGACATAAAACTGAAACCTCTCTCGACACAAGTTTCCACATAGTCAAAAATACACCATGTTATCTCTTCTTCTTCTTCTTCTTCTTCTTCTTCTTCTTCTTCTTCTTCTTCTTCTTCTTCTTCTTCTTCTTCTTCTTCTTCCTCTTCTTCCTCTTCTTCCTCTTCTTCCTCTCCTTCCTCTCCTTCCTCTCCTTCCTCCTCTTCCTCTTCCTCCTCCTGCCTTCCCCTCCCAGGAGCTGCCTTCTGTCTTGCTCCAGTCTCAGAGGCTCTTCAGTCTGGCTGCACATATGTTAGGAACTGCAGAAAGAAATCCCTTGAGGAGTTTGTTGACTAAATCTATGTCTTGGTGCTCACTGTTTTCTGCTTTGCCTTTTGACAGGCCAGGGAGTAGATACATGGTGTTACCATAACCTGTTGTCATAATTGCCGGGCAAAT